TCTCCTGATCTCACAACCTCGTTTCCAGGGTCTCTCATCTTCCCGCTCCAGGGGTTGGGAAGATGAGAGACCCTGGGAACGAGGTTGATGATCTCGATGATTGATTCAGTGGTATTTGTGGAAGGAGAATTTAGGCGCTGGTGAGGTTTTATCGCGTAGTGTAACAGATCAAGTCACACTGTTGGTGTATGGTGAAGAGGATGGCTTTTTTTCTTTTTTTTTTTAACAAGCAAAGCCCGGCAGCTTATATGTTACAACAATTTCAGTTTGTTTACTAGCCAAACTGGCTGGTGGAAATCGAAAACCACTCGCCAAAATTGTATTTCTACTAATCTGTGGCTAGTTGGCTACTGTTAGTGTAGAGCCCTGGCAAGTAAAAGACTGAAAATCAGAAAGAGACATTTCACCTCGTGGGCGACAGGTTCGTGGTGGTTCATAAACGTAACCATCCAAACAGGAGCACTTGTAAGACCCCACAGTGTTGATGCATTTATGATCACATACTCCATGAACCAAACATTCATCCATATCTAAATGAAAAACAGAGAAAAGGAAATTTATTATTCCAATCCTTCGGCATTTTACTATATTAGGTCATCGAGACACGCAAAATATGAGGACGGAAAGCGGAGCAAAAAAATTGGTCTCAGTGAAACTGTCCAAACAAAAATTTTTTGCCGCCCCAGCTCGATAAAATACCCCACAACACGCAAAATATCCGAGCGCTTTTTTATGTAAAAACCATCGGATAAGGCTTATAGTTACGTCGTATGTAGTACTTTTCCACTTATCTCAAAAAAGGCATTTAATATCATCTATTGTTTGAGCATAAAAGGAAAAAAAATTGCTAGCACTAAGTAATTCTTACCGTTGCATGAAATCCCATCAGAATAAAGACTATAACCAGGTCTGCAGAAGCACTCGGCTCCAATTCGAGTTTGCTTACAGATCTGGCTGCAGTTTTTCAGCTTCAAGCAGTTCTCGCTTACTGTAAACGAAACAGAGCAACTTACGGATATACCACAAATATTGTCTTAATAGAAATTATTTGTTATGTCTAACAATTAACAACTACTATAATAGTAGGTTATGTAGGGCAAAATATTGTAATTTGTCAAACTGGTAACGAGATTAATTGCCGTTGCCAAAAACCACCGGTAAAGGCAAATAATTCGGATCTGTCAGACGCAGACAATATTTGGAAAAAGCCAAAAATGTATGTATGTATGTATGTACGTACGTACGTAAGTACGTATGTATGTATGTATGTATGTATGTATGTATGTATGTATGTATGTATGTATGTAAACTCTTTACGGTGGCCAATTTACAATTTCAACTTAGTTGATGTAACCAAATTACCTTGTTACCCCTACCGAGGCAGCATCACAATTGCTTTCGCAACTTACCCCCTTTATTCATTAATTTTGTTCTCTATACAGTTACTAAGGCGCTGACGAAGAGAATTTGTTTTAACAAACTAGTGCAGCTTCTTCAGCTGGTGATCATTTCCTTTATGCTCCTGGCCTTAATGTGTGATTCAGGGCTGATATTGTAAGGAGAAATTAGATGCTGGTCAATCCTAGAGGTCAGTGGGTTAGGAAAGGGAAAAGCAATTATAACATGCTGAGCCTATGAAGTTGACGAAAGAGTAATTTAGACAACTTACGGCAATGTGGCCCTTCGTCAGAATTGTCACCGCAGTCATCATTTCCATCACACACTTGAGCAAAGTCCAAACAGTGAGATGTTCCAATACACTGCCACTGGTTTGATGAACACGTCACAGGACCTGGCATTGGGGGAAACGATAAAACTGTTCACGAACGTCCTGTCATTCACATGCGAATTTTAAATCTTCTGCCCTCAAAACTTAGCTTTGACCAGGATATTTTATAACCTCTTTCCCTTGCAATGTAATCATAGGGGTGGCTCCTTAGGTGCTATTCCCTTAGGTGCACTGTTGGTTTTGAATAAGGCGTTAATTCCCTATGAGTATGATTCTCTGATCCTGGGAGCTAAATGCAGTGGCCACCAGTGTCTGTGTGCAGAGATAATTGTGATAATGACCCACAAACAGAATGCAGTTGATATCCTTGGCTCATAATGAAACACTTAATATACACAAACATAGAGTTCTACTGAATCAATAAGTGATATTCAATAATTGATTACCGCAGTTTTGTTCATCAGAATTATCATTACAGTCCCTATCCCCATCACATTTCCAATTGATATTTATACATTTTCCATCAGAACATCTGAACTCAGTTGCCTCATCACAAACATTTTGTGCTACAAATAGAAAATGCAAAGCATAAAATTAATGTTCTGTAAAAGACAAAAACAGAGGATATTCATCCACCTGATATTGATAATTCATTGTGTCTATGCAAATCCAGGCCTTAATTGGGAATTCTGCACCCAATTGAATTTGCAAACCATGGAGATTTAAAGGCATACATAGATCAAAAGTCTAATTATAAATCAATACAAAAAA